AAAAAAAAAAGAGAAAAAGAAAAAAAAAACCTTTCTGCTCCTAGCCTGGAGCTCTGTGACCTGGACAGAGCCGCTGGCTGCTCAGAAATATAAATTCCAATTTTCTGTGTAATGGGATTTATCTATGGAAAGGTTAGGAAGCTGTTGGGAAGGCAGAGGCAGCAGCTAAAAAGTGGAAAAACAGGGAAAAAAGAGGAGCCTCCCTTCCTGGCAGCCTCTGCAGCACAGAGCTGGAGGCTCCTGCTGGCACTTCCCTGTCCCCTGTCACCCCCCCAGTGAGAGCAGAGCAGTGTCACCTCCTCCCCGGTGCCACCTCCAAGGTGGCACTGAGACTTTGAGCTCCCCATCCCCGATCTCGCTCCAGCACAATTCCGTTCTTGCACTTTGAAATTATTTTGGATTTTTCTCTTTTTTCCCACCCCGAGCTGGATCGTTCTCCCTCCCTCGGTGCCCCCGGAGGTGCCACCCAAACTCCTCTGGCAWGGGGACACCCCCTGGCAAGGGGACATCCCCAGGCACACGGACCTCAAGTCTCACCTTGACCTTCAGTGATTCTGAGAGCAAATTTAGGCACATATTTGGGCTAAAATGTGGAATTTGGGGGCCAGCCTCCAGCCCTGAAAGGCCTGCACCCGCAGATCCTAGGGAGCTGGGAACAGCCAAATTCCCAGTTTGGGCCAGCGGGAGGATGGGCAGGGGGGGTCAGTCAGGGTTTGTCCAGGAGCTGTGTTTTATTTTAATTTTCACCTTCTATTGCTCTGAGATCCCAAATTCCTGCATTGCTCCAAGATCCCAAATCCCTGTGGTGCTGCTCGCAGCCTCCAGCCCCATTTGTGATGCCAAGGCCCTGAGGTGGTGCCCAAATGGTCCAATTCCTCCAAAATTCCAGCCCTGGGAATCCAAGCTGTGCCAGGACTGGGGAGGGAGGGCTGGGGAACTGGGAAGGCAGGGAACTGATCCCCCAGGACACACAAAATCCACGTTGAGATCGTCCCCAATTTGGGGTCAGTACCCAAATCCCTGGACAACCCCAGGACACACACAAGGAGTCAGTGAGAGGCACTTCGGGTGAATCTGGAGGCTGGAAAGTGCTGGAATGATCTCCTGGGGGGAGGTTTGGGAGCCGGGCTTTGGGAGAYGTTGGAAATCCAGGAAATGGTTTTTTTTTAGGCAGGATTTTTAAAACCAGGAAGAGCTGCGCTGAGCAGCGTCCCTGTCCCATACTGCTCGGTGCCACCAAGGGCTGATGGTGGTGGCAGCGGTTGGAGCTGGGTCCCTCCGACTCTCCAGGAATTCCGGGAGCAGGGTGGGAATGAGCCCGGAGGGGGATAAGAGACAATGAAGCACTTACACAACTCCGACACCTCCCAAAGGCTCCCAAATGTCCCAGTTCCAAAAGGAATTGTCACCTCAAGCTGTCCTAGAGCCAAAGGTCCCCATGGCAGATTGAGGAGGGGAACAAGGGGGCACTGCTGGGAGGTCTCCAGGTGGATCCCTGTGGAAAAAAAATTAGGGAGAGCAGGGGAAAGGAAAAGCTAAAGATTTTCTGTTTCAGTTGCACTGGGGTATGTTCTTTACCCGTTTGGATGCTGATGTCTCATTTAGGATCATTGCATGTGTCCTTTTATTTTTTTTTTTTAATTTGGTGGGGTTTTTTTTTGTTTTTATTAAATGAAAGAGAAAAAAAAAATGTGTATATTTTTGGCAATTTAAGGTAATGTAGCTAAGATATATTTTTTTCACGCTGCTTGACTGTTCTTTATTATAATAAATAATATTGATATTAACAGCAACGAAGGTTTTTTTATAATAAATAAATAAAGACGAGGGGCCCAAATTTAAGTGGGAATGAGGGCTGTGGGAGGAATTCCCTGCTGGGTTCTGGAATGTGTGGCATCCGAAGCCAGGGATGTTCCTGGATGCAGGAGTGCGCTCCTGGAGTGCTCGCCTTGGAAATGAGCGGGAAAAGGAGGTTTTTCCCCCAAAACCACCAGTGATGGCCCCGTTAGGATCCCAAATCCTCTCGCTGTCCGTGTGAGTACCCGGCCAGCTCCTGAATCCTCCTCTCTTCCATCGGGCATCGTGACTGGGACCGGGAACGGGAACCGGGACCAGCACTGGGACCCCGCAGTGGGAGCGAGCACCGGGACCGGGATTGGGGCACAGAGAGGGGCAACGGGATCGGGGACCGGCACCGGCAGCGCCTGACAGAACCGGCAGCAGAACCGGTCCGGGGCTCTCGGTGTGCGGAGGAACCTCCCCGCTCTCACCGGCCCGCCCGGGGCTCTCGGTGTGCGGAGGAACCTCCCCGCTCCCACCGGCCCGGGGCTCTCGGTGTGCGGAGGAACCTCCCCGCTCTCACCGAGCTCTTCCGGCGGCGCGGGAGGCGGAGCTGCCCGGGGAAGGTCACGGTCACCGGCTCCATGCTGCGGGTGAGAGCGGCCGCGCTCGGGGCGCTGATGAGGGCGGCGAGGGGCGGCCGCCGGTGCCGGGACCCCTCGGGGGGGTTGCGGGTCCCGTCCCTCTGCTCTGCGCCTCCCCCGCAGCCGGTGATCGCCGCCAAGGAGCCGTTCCCGGTGGAGCTGAAGGAGGGGAAGAGCTACATCTGGTGCGCCTGCGGGCACAGCCAGCGCCAGGTCGGGCCGGGGGACTCCGGGGCACCGGGGGGCTCTGACGGGTCCAGGCGCTCCGGGGCTGGGGGCTGCGCGGTGGCTCCCACGGAAGGGGGTGGGTCTGGGGGGTCTGGGGGTCTCCGAATGCTCCGGGGCTGGGAACCCCCGGGGTAGCCAGGGGGGCTGCGTGACCCGGCGGGATCCGGAGAGTCCGGGGGCTCCGGGGGACTCGCCACCCCCCCGAGCTGGGATGTGCGTGGATTCCGATGTGGCCAAGGCAGAACCAGCCCCACGGCAGCACACGCTCCCCCGCCCCCCATTCCTGCACTGGTGCTTTTGGGGTTTTGCCCTCCCGGCCAGTTCCCGCGGCATGTGCTGCTCAGGGATGGGATGGAGGGGTCGCGGAGCGCCCGGGGTCGCAGCCGRCCACCCCAAACCCCTGCTTGACCCCATCCCCGTTTGTTCGCAGCCTTTTTGCGACGGCGCCCACAAGAAGGAGGCCCCGGGGCTGTCCCCGCTGCGCTTCACCCCTGCGCGGACCGGCCCCGCCTGGCTCTGCGGCTGCAAACGCACCCGGACCCCCCCGTACTGCGACGGGACCCACAAAGGGGAGGCGGTGCAGGGCGCCCCGCTGCCCCCACGGGCCTGACCCGGAGCCTTGGCAGCTCGGGACCACGGGGACGCTCATCCCGACCTCGGGATGGCCGGACTGGAGAGAGGCTCGGCTCCCACCCCAATGAAATCCTGATTRCTGGGGGCTGCGAGCTGTCCCCACTGCAGCAAACCGGACACACACCCCCACCCTCAGGGGTGGGGATTTGCCCTCTGCATCCAAATAATCCTCTGGACTATGGGATGTTTGGGAGTGGTTTTGCATTGCTGGGGTTGTGAGTGCCCAGGGGGATGCGGGCACCTGGGGAGTTTGGCATGGTGCACCCTGTGGGATTTAAAACCGAGGAATCCGTGGGATTTGGGATGGAGTGACCCATGGGATGCAGGATGGAGGGACCTGTGGGATTTGGGACGAAGGAGCCTGCAGAGTGTAGGATTTGGGTTGGAGGGATCTGTGGGATTTGGGATTGAGGGATCTGTGGGGTTTGGGCAGGAGGCTCTGCTGGGCCGAAGCAGGACCAGAGTCACACAAAGGCATGACCGGGGACAAGAGCTGGGATTTGGGTTCGTTTCCGGGACATTAAACAGGATGCAGACACGCAGAACCCTGGGGTTGGGACGAGAGAGGGAAACCCCGAACCTGTGCACACCCCGAGCCCAAACACAAACCCCGCCCCACGCCCGGGCTGGGCCGGTGCCCCCCACCCAGTCCGGGTTATGTGCAAGGGATGAAGGGGGGGAGGAATCGAGACRAACGGAGCCCCCGGCCCGCCTGGAGCCCCTGGGGGCAGACAGGGGACAGGAGTGACCCTGTGGAGACCTCCCGGGGCCACCCCCAGCGGGGACGGGACAGGAGTATCATTCCTGTGCCATTCCTGTGCCCTCCCTGCGCCATCCCCGCGCCGCTTCCCTTCCGCAGGCACTCGCTCATTCTGTGTCCTTCCTCCATCCCCTCCCCAGCGAGGGCAGGAGAGGAAAACCCCGGGATCATCCTTCCCTGGGCCTCCTGTGCTTTTTTAAAAAAAWATTCCATGCAGGAATTTGGTCCCTTTCCCCGGGAGACACCCCAGCTCCTTCCCATGCTTGGCCCTTGCCAGTGCCTCCTGGCTAAAGGCACTGAAGTCAGGATTTTTCCCATTTTCTTTTATTAAAAATGCAATGTGAGGGCAGGAGGAGAGGGTGGGAAGGACAGCAAGGAGGGACGCCGAAAAGAAACGCTCAGAAACAGGAGAAGCAGGGAGCAGCTTCATGGATTTGAAGCCCCTGGGTCCAGCACGTGCTGCCCCCGAGCTTTTGGATGCCCCCAAATTTCCCTGGAGCTGTCAGAACCTCAGAAAAGAGCAAATTTCCAGGGGGATTTGTGCTCCCACCATGGTGCCACCACCAAGCTGAAGCRTAAATCATTTGGAAAGTGTGAAAATTTGGGGGAAGAAAACCCCCCAAAAAGGAACTTACTGTGCAGGAGGGCAGAGTTGGCACGAGATTTTGGGTGATCAGAGCCCGAAACAGTGGCCAGAACCCACAAGGAAAGCAGAGAAAGACCCCAAAATGTGACAGAAAACCTGGAGCTGAGATGGAGCTGGCACAGTCACCTCTGACCTGGTGTGTGAAACCCGTAAATAAACACAAAATACCCACAACTAAATTAAAAAAA